CACGGTTCTGAGTCACGTGCATCCATCGACTTCCTGCATGTCTTACCAGGTCCTCACTCCATCTCGTGAGGGGTCGCCCTACACTTCGCCTACCGGTACGAGGCTGTTTCTATTAACATAGACGAAATCATTTCACGTGCAGAATCGTTAAGCATTGTGCCTTCGTTATCACGAAGAGCCATTGCCGAACACGCTAGAGACTTACCATTATTTTCGAAAACTAACGGAAAATATGTGCCTGTTACATCTCTTAATGAAAATCTATTTAACTTTAGATCGATAACCATTCCCGAATCTTTAATAAAATTCATGCCAAGTAATGTGTCCTTGATACCTGGTAATAAAACGAAAGTTGTGGAGACAACAATTCCACAAATATCAACATTTACAGTAGCTATTTCTACATTTCTATTACAAACTGAACCATCAGCTAATTTAATTTCAAGTTCAGAGTTAATCAACCTATGATTTTATCATCATCATCATTACAGCCTTTCACAAGTCCACTGCTGAACATAGGCCTCCCCCAAGGAATGCCACAAAGCACGGCAACCTATGATTATTACTAACTAATAAATTTCCTAAGCTATCACTCGCGATTGACAATTTTGCATCGGTATCTATTATAACACATCCACTAGTGTTATATACACTTACATTTATCATTGGTCGAGCATAAGGCTCTGTAAGTTTTGTATGTACAGCAGCCACTGACTGGAAAGAAACAGAATTTTTCACTACCGAAGAACCACTGTTTTTCTTACAATTGCCACAGTTCGAACGTACCAAACAACAACTGAAGTACCTTTAGCACCTGTTTCATTGTTACTTATGTCCTTTTTTTGTTGACCCATTTTAACTTGTGGCCGTTTGTGACATGTTTCCTTATCATGACCATATTTCTTACAGTATGCACAGTGAGGTCTAAACTTATTATTTCCACTATAACTTGTTGCAACAGACGCATTTATTCGCGCCTGATTATTATTAGAGGTAGATGAAGATACAGCTAATGATCTATTAGAGGAAATCTGCTGACGCATATGTGGTCTCATTCGTCTTTCTTCAAAAAGGTCCTCTACAGCACGTGCTTTTTCAAGTAACTCTGAAAATGTCATAACGGAGACTCTGACTACCTTTTCGCGTATTTTCCTATGCAGCAGTCCATAAACCATGTCTAACTGTACAGGATTCTCAGCTAACGTGCCTGGTGGTAATTGTGCTAGCAGGGTTGTTGCTTTACAAACAAATACATCCGTGCTTTCATCGCCTTGCTCCTTATTAAACAGTTCTCTATATATTTTATGTGGTGGAAGACGGGAACCATAAGTATGTTTTAACAACTGCATTGTTTCTGTCCAGGTCAATACAAACAAAGAGGATTACCACAATTTAGAGCGGTGCCGAAGGCCGGGCTCATGCCGACTTCAACGGTCCAGTCAGGTCTATCACAACCAACACCACAAAAACACTACTACACTCAACACATACACACCTCCGGCCTGACCGAGCCCTGAGACAGCAGTCGCCTCAGATACAAGTAAGTACTCTCTATTCGACTAGCCTTCCCCTTAAAGTGTACTAGGATAGAACATTATCCATATAGCCATTCGGGCTTGAACCCGCGGTGCCCGTTGAATCTTACGCTCATGGGCCCCGGGAGATTTGGTCTCTGCAGGGGCAGCTGCAGGCCGTAACATTTTTGGTAGCAGGGAGCGTTGGTTGGATTTGTTGTTTTACTCCTTTCCACCATGTTGCAGCCAATCCAGTTAATAACAAGGGCAATCCCCGAAGAGCGATACTCTCTTCCATAGTCAGGAGTGATATTAGGTTGCATAGATACTGTATCTGACTGATAATGAGTTGACACACTGGTTGATTAGTTAATGTTATACTAGCGTCATCCATTTGTGTGGAACTGCCAGAGCCGCCAGCTGTGGTATTGTTGCATCGCACACCTAAGGAGACACCGGCTGGTTCATCAAAATCAGCCGCTATGAAGTTACCTTCACGCTTCGCTTTACGTACTGTGATCTGCGATACCATCAAGTTTTCTTTCAACTATATCTGCACGGACTAGCGCTCGCTCTTAACTTCCAAGCCGCCATAAAGATTCGACAACACCTTTCTTTCGTGGTGATGGTTGATTACCAGTTCAAGTCACCATGAACGTGCAGTAGACTGACCTTTATCTTGATTTATTTAAAGTTTGTGGAGCATGTGTTCTTTCATACATAGTTACTAGCCGTCATCTCACTTTTTTTTTGATAATAAAGATTATTTATTTATTTATCTCAGTAATCTAATCGAGTTGAGCAGCCCATTTCTAACCATACCACCGTTCAAACAATCCATTAATCATTTAACTATCCTAACGTATTCCTCAATCTTCAGCATCCCATGTTCATACCATATGACAACCAATTTCCATGCAACATTTCAATCAATAGGGGTGGCTGCGCCACTTCAGACTTCCACTTCCATACACATTTCTCATTATATCCCATTTGTGTAACACCACAAAATATCAATTTTATAGTACTTTCGTTTACTCATGGAGGTCATTACAACCTGCAAGTTGTAATGACCTCCATGAGTAAACGAGAGAGTAAGGATTAAAAGTAAATAAAATAGCAATAATGTATACTTATTAAAATCATTTATTCGTGACGAAATAACTTTATTTAGTCAGAAAATTTATTTTAGACACATGAATCAAATCACCCTTAAGCCGAACTACATCCAGCGTTCTTTTTATACATTCTTTTTCAAAATGCAAGGAGCATATTCTTCTTACTACTGCAGGTTTTATGTTTTCCTGGCCTATATTATTAATCCACTATTTTTGAAGGCCTTCATTTTTTGGCAACCTAAAATAAATATTATGCATCTTTAAGTACCAATCAAAAATAATCTTAACATCATCAAATCTTTTGATGAAAAATACTATTATAGAAAATTTACGATTTACACTATTTTCTTAAATGTTATATATTAAGTTCTTTTCTTAAATGAAAGGCTATCAATCGATTCTTTGATTAAATATACAGTTTACGTATCTAAAACGTTATTTGATCATAGGACTACGTTAATATTATTGTTAAAATTTATATCGATAATTTCAAAACATGACAGCACTTAAGGGCAACACTATGTAAAAAAGTAAACAATCAAAATGTTTACTTGTTTAAATTTACATGATAATAGTCATTGGAAATTCTAGATAACAGCGGGAAACACGATTTAAAACCCATAACATGAACACGAAACGCAATTCACACGAAAAAATATACAATTATAGAAAAAATTACAACTAACCTGAAAAATGACAATCCTTCTTCATTTTAACGAGAATTTGAATAACATCCATTGATACAACACTTTGTCATGTTGTTTTTGCTCAATTACCCTTTACTAATAAATAAAAATGGTCCAAAATAACTTCGAACAAGGCTTAGATGACAGACGAACTACCACAAATGAACGTCATCCTAAAATGGCGTCATGCTTCAAGGTGGAGCTTAGTGAAATTATGAAAACTGTCAACAGAAGATTGAAGTCTAAGATATGTACTTATCTTTTTTACATTTGAAAATCATAACGTGTGAGAATGAGACAGATATATTTTTGTTGGCAAGCTTCATGTTTGCATGATCTTTGTATAACCAAAAAATATATATGCAATTTACAATTTACATCACAAATACAGTGGGGAAATTATAATAAACCGATACCAGGCCATAAACTCCAAAAAAAAGTATAAAATTTGTTGGCCTAAAAGTCTAGATACCAGGCCATAAACTCCAAAAAAAGTATAAAATTTGTTTTGATTTTTCTTACTGACTTGACACACTCAATCTCGATCGCCATCGGTGACCAAAATCAATGACCGCGATCCAGATTGATAATGTACGAATTAGATTGATGGATTGATGTATCTGATCACAAAATATCTAGATATTTTGAAATCAAGATCGCAATCCGCTGATCGTGATCTAGATTGAACGTGTAAGCGCAGGATCGCATCAGTCTCGCTGTGCGCTTCAATGAAAATGGGCATCGATGACACGCGCTCCCCGTCGCCGCCAATTGAATCATCGAATTCACGTTCGTTACCTCAATTTTTAACAAGAAAATTTCATCATACTTTTGGAAACTTTAACAGAGCTATGGATTCCCCAGCATAAATATAATACAAATAATATAAAAATATATGGATTTATCATTTCTACGTGGACGTAGAAATGATGAAAATAACGCCATGCTGCAGCTATATTATGGTTGTAGCACGAATAGGTCGGCTCGACCGGGAAAGGACCACGCTCTTACAGAATACCAGTGTAAAATAGCAGCTTAACGCTACTGTGTTTCGTTTGGTGAATGTAAAGTGAAGTAGATTTTATAATCGTCAGTTTCAGCAGTTAGTTGAATTTATTTTAGTGAATTTAAGCGAGTGTATTTCTCTCTTAAGTAGCCACAGTTTAAACCACTGCCTTTTTGAAACCGTTTCTTCAAATTAAGGGCCAAAACATGTGATACTGCAGCTTTAACCTCATGTAAATTCATGGCCACAGAGTACTTTTTTATATGACAAGACAACAGACGTTGTTAACGCGGCGGTTACGATACACAGACTGAAGAAATCCAGATTGAACGTGAAATGTTGTGCTGCGATCCCGTGATCCATGATCGCGATCAGTACTGTATGATTGCAATCGAGATTGCGTGTGTATGGGCTGCCTTAGAAGATTTTTCTTGACAATTACTGTCAATGATATTTTTTTCTGACAGTGAGCAGTGACTGTCAAACCAAACTTAATGTCAATGACATGATTTTTATTGTTTGAATTTGAAGCAAACTAGTAATAAAGTGGGACTGTATGTCAGTGAATTTTTGAATACGATTAACACTTTAATAATCTTTGAATTAATTCTAACAAATATCGTTATATCAATTTATAAATTAAACAAATAATAATATATTTATTCAATATTGAAAGATGGTTGGACTGGATTCTGAGTTGAACAGGGATGACGAATGCGATAATATCGGCTTAAGTTGTGCTTTGGAGCACTTTTCAGAGGTGGAGGATGTGATGAATATAATTGATAATCTGAAAAATATCTACAACTCACCAAAATTAGAAGTGGAGTATGATAGATTGTATAACATATTAAAGCAATATTATGAACAACCACACCTTCTTGATCCTTATTTGGATAAGATTTTGGCTAAGTTTCTCACTTTAATTAAGGATAAAGAATCTCCTTGTGAATTAAAACATGCGACATTCAATTACATGTACCAAATTATCAGAGTCAGAGGGTATAAAGTTGTTGTAAGACATTTGCCTCATGAGGTAAGTAACCGTTTTCTTAATTTAATCTTCTTCCCGCTGGACATGCCGGTTCCATCGTAAGGAGGATTTGCCTTAATTGTCAAGCTTCGCAAGCGGATTGACAATCAAAATTTCCTATCATTGCAAATCTTTGGCCCTGCTGCCCATCTCCATATTTTCCGTCAGCCATAGAATCTCATCATCTATAGATGGTCATAAGATTTATTCGACATCTCCTATAGTCACCACCAACAACACCCACAGGACCAACTGTTATCTTATGTTGTCACCAAATGATAAATAAATTAAATATTAATAAAAGTCATCCTTTGTGGAACATACACCACTGTTGGGCACAAGCCTCCATTCATTTAATTTCATTTTGGTTTTAAGGCAGGAGAATGTTTGGGGTTCTGGCCCAATATTGGCAAACTTCACGTCTCTGAAATATATTATAATTAATCTGAAATATTATTATATTAGAATATCTGATATCTCCATAATTAAAATAAGGTAATACAAAAGAGTTTTATTCAGATTCAATCCACAGGCTTGGAGAAAAAGGAAACTAGAGCTAAATTTTTTGAAGTAAAAACTGCTTTAGAATAGTTGTAATTTGAAACTTAAAACGAAAAAGTGATATTAGAAAAAGATACAAAAATATATATCTATAAGATTTAGTCTGCATTTCCACCAGAGATGTTCGTGGTAGCTGGGGGGTGCGAGGATGCATAGTGAGGCTGTGGAATGGTGAGGTTTCCACCAGATATGTGTTAGGCCGTTGAGCGGTGCGAAGATGCATAGTGAGGCTGTGAAATGGTGTGCAGATAAGCGGTGTGAGGATATGTAGCGGGCTTGTTTCAGATGCAAGTGGGGTGAGGTGTGGTGAGAGTGGAGCCCTTGCACACATGTCTAGCACACATCCTTCGCAACATATCCCTCGCAACACATCCCTTGCACACATCCCTCCCTTGTTTTGTATGTACAAAAACCTCGCTCCGGTAAGCAGTTTTCACTAGAGCTGTGCTGAGCGAGGCTAGGTAAATGAAGTGATTCTATTGGTTCTTAACAAACACATCCATTGCTACGCATCCTCACACATATCTAGTGGAAACGGAGCCTATAAGCCTATGATAAAAGGAGATAGATATTAAATTAGTTGTGTTTAGGCCACCTGGTGTCTATTTTACATTTCACCTTGAGAGTCCATCAATTTTTGTTCAATAAAATGACTTTATATGTAGAATGAAGTAGATGGTCCTATAAAAAGCAATTTCACTCAGAAGAAAATATTATTTTGATCTATAACACTAATTTTAGGTTCTTCGTGTCTTAAAATAAAGATTGTAACATTTATTTGCTATAAAATTAAACTTCTAACTTATATTTTATGCCGCACTTGTAGTTGAAAGTTATCATATTAGATAAATAATTAGCTCAGAAATATTTTTATTTAATATTTCATTTCATTTAAAGGTTTCACTTCTACAATGTGTGGATTTACATATATAAGCATGTATTTTTTTAATTGTAATTTTATGTGGGGACTTTAATGTACAATAGTAGTGTTCTATGGGGAGGCCAATGTTTAGCAGTGGACAGTTATAGGCTGTACCTACACACAAAACTTGCTGTACAAACAATTACCTTAACTTAAAATTAAACTACACATGTACTGCACATTTGTAGTTTAACTCAGTCTGATGTAGTAGCCTTTAATATAAATATGGAAACACCTATACCCAATGCATGGAGGAATGACCTTGTGCATATTTCTCCACACTCAAAATGACTAGAAAATGTTTGTTTTTCTAATGCCAGACCAATATTTTTTAATTAATATTGTTCAGTTTCATGTTAATTCAAATTAATATTGTTCACTTTTAAGATAATAAATAAGCAAGATATAAGAACATCATCTCATCAAGTATCCCTCAAAACTTGAAAACAAGAGTGTGTAACCAATGCATATTATGTTGCCTATATGAAACATAAACTACCCTCAAGGAATGACACAAAATATTGTCCTGAGCCAACTGCCTCTACTTCTATAAGGCTGCTGCTTAAAAACATTTCTTCCCCATTGGTTGACAGTTTTTTGAGTTATATGGCCTGACCATTACTTCTTCAGCCTTCCTCATTGTGGATCATCATAACTGTCTTAAATTTAAAATAGATAGGTAATTGAACGTAAAATGTTAAACAGAAAATAATCCCGTTTCTAAAAAATTTCACATAAATGGCCACACTGTTGTTTGATAGATATGAAGCAATGTGTATTATAAATAAAAAGATACAGCCATGTTCAGCTGGCATATGCAACCGGCAGATGTAGATTATTTTTCCAAGGTTAAAATATGTCATACATCACAGATTTTATAAAATTTTACTATACTAGAAAAAATCATAAGTGTGTTCATTTTGACAGTGTCTAGTATTCTTCAGATAATCTGGCTCCCATTATAAAGTCTGATGTAAACTGTTCATTACCTCACCACAACACGGCGGGAACTCTTTTAGGCCCTTTATGTAATGATTTGACTTCCTTGACATTGGATTCTAAAACTTACACTAATAACACATTTTGAAAGTTAATTTTTAACATTATAGGTATCGGATCTTCTTACTGTTTTAACATTCCTTGAAGCGCAAGATCCAAATGATAAAGAGACTTGGCGTAGCAGATTCGTATTGTTACTATGGCTTTCAATTGTTGTCATTATTCCTTTTCATATGAGCAGATTAGATGGATTTGCTCCAGAACAAACAGGTAAATGAATGTTGCATTCTAATATTTGTAACCATACTTTTAATTTGATGTAAAATAACAATATATGATGTATTTGCAATTGTAATACAAAGTGGAATTAATCTTCTTAATTTTTGTAGGAGCAGCTGGTTCATCTAAGAAACTTACTGTGATGGAAAGAATCTTAAACATTTGTAAATTATATGCATGTAGCAAAGATTCATGTGCTGAAGCTAGTGCATATTTAGCTTCTAAATTTCTAATAAGGTAAGCAGTTGTAAGTGAAAAATAATATAGATAAATAGTGATTATTAATTTTATAACAAATTACTTGTTCAAGTTAGAGGTTTTAATATTCCGGTTTATATATTGTATTGTTATTATATTGATTCAACAAATAATATTATAGGAAAATAAAATGTATTTATTTTTTGGTTATTTACAGGTCAGATGTTAAGGAAGTGTATATGGGTGCATTTTTTGACTGGGCTTGTGAGTTACATTCCAATTTGAAAGAGGAAGACACTATACATTATGGTGTCCTAGCTGCTGTGGCTGCAGTGCTAAAGCATGGGAAGAGAGATGACCTGCTGCCATATGCGCCTAAGTTGTTAAAATGGGTTACAGATCAAAACTATAAGCAGCATTCAGCCATGCTGGTGAGGAAATATGGAGTTAAAATTGTGCAAAGAATAGGTATGTATCCTATTTTCTAACAACATACCTATATCTGTTTTTAATAACAAGGTGCTCCCTCCAGTGAAAATTAACAGAACAAGTACCAAGTGGTCTTTGATGGGTAGCAAAATAAATCGTAACAATTTATTTTAAAGAATGTGGTGAGGTAATTGGATACTGTGGCCCATTAACATTAGATTTCTATTATATTAGATGTCCCCTATGGACTAATATGGAATGCCTCGTTTCCATTAAAAAGAGCTTTTGATTCTCTGCACTTACCATACGAAACACAGCAGCATTAAGCTGGGTATTCTGCGAAAGCGAGATCCTTTCCTTTCTTTATATTATTTATATTATACTTTATATATCTACATTATCCTGCTTGGTAGAGCCATGTGCACTAACCAACTGAAAACTTCCAAATAAGTGAAAGTAATAATTGCACAGAAGGAACTCACTTATTCTCACATTCCTGTTAATGATGTAACGATTTCGCGATATTCGGGGTTGCCAGTGTCCAATCCAGGCTCCGCTGCGTTATAAGCAGGTTTATATGTAGAAACTATACAGTATTAGAACTGCCCAAAACCTGGTACTTCTACTACTACTTCTTTTGCACCTTTAGAAAACCAAGATGAAGTTCCGTATATTACATTTAATGACATTTAATACATATTTTTTATTTATTTTGCAGGGTTAACATTCTTACGGCCACGTGTAGCATCATGGCGTTATACGCGAGGTTCTAGATCGCTTGCAGTTACACTGGGAGGAGTGGCAGCAGCTGGTGACACTGAACCCATGACTTCTCCGCCTGATGATGATGATGAGGATATACCACAAGAAGTAGGAATATTTCGATTAAAATATTAACACAGATTTGAAACAGTTCATTTGTACCTTCCATTATATTTCTTTTATATTGAATGTCTCCTGTTATTAGGGAATACTTTCTTCTGCTTCATCAGCAGTCTATGACATTTCTCGGCTGATTATGATTTCTAGGAAGTGTACAGCATTTTTTTAGTTTCTTCTTCTGACTACCACAGTGCAAAATGGTGTCATGATTTCTGTTAGGTTGCAGGCATAAGGAAATTATGCATATATGTGTAACCTCAGATTGTGTTACATACATTAAATACATACAATACTGCCGATTTTATTTAGAAACTATATCTATTTGTTTGTATTCATATGCATTTGTGTAATTTACAAGCCTTATTTTAACATGTGTTATATCTATATAAATTTTTTATATTTAGTTATTTAATTATATTGCTGTGCACCTTGTTTAATTTATGTTGGGAACTGAAGCGGGTACCGGAAGACTGGTGCAAAGCCGTTATAGTCCCAATATATAAGGGAAAGGGCTCGCAGCAGGACTGTAAAAACTACCGTGGTATCAGCTTGCATAGCATTGTGGGTAAACTGTATGCTAAGGTGTTAATTGAAAGAGTTATGGAAGAAACTGATGGAAAAATTTGGGATGTGCAAGCTGTATTTAGAAAGGGGATGGGGTGTACGGATCAAGTCTTTTCCATGCGCATGATAGCGGAGAAGCTTTTGGCCAAAAACTAGAAAGTTTTTTGTGCGTTCATGGACTTGGAAAGGGCTTATGACAGAGTGGACAGGAATGTGTTATGGCATACACTGAACTCATTTGGGTTGAGCGCTGGCTTGATACAGGCATTAAGGTCTCTTTATAGGGACTCTAGTCCTTGTGTCAGGATCAATTCAAGTCATATTTGCATCGTCGGCGGCCGAGTTGCGAATGATGGTTACTTTAATGCATTGGTCATTGAAAGAAAGGGGTATGAAAGTGAACGCAAGTAAGACGAAAGTGATGGTTTTTGAAAGAGAAGAAAGTAAAACTTTATGTGAAATAAGAATAGAAGGGGAGTTGATTGAGCAAGTGGATGAGTTTGTATATTTGGGATGTTTATTTAGCAGGGATGGTAGTTATGATATGGAACGACGAGTGAACGCAGGAAATAGAGTGAATGGGGCTCTACACGCTATTATGAGGAGTCAGAATGTGTCAAATAAGGCACGTATGGCAATTCATAATGCTGTGTTAGTCCCTACTTTAATGTATGGTAGTGAAAGTTGGGTCTGGCAGAAGAATAATGAGAGTAGAATAAATGCTGTAGAAATGCGTTCCTTAAGGAGTATGCTAGGGCTGAATCTGAATGACAGGGTGAGAAATAGTGTGATAAGAGAAAAGTATGGTTTGCAAGATGACGTTGTGACAAGGTTAAGAAAGGAATACCACCGAATGGTATGGTCATGTAGAAAGAATGAACGAGGAAAGAGTGACAAAGAAAATTTATGTTGCAGAAGTGAACGGCAGGGTCGGGAAGGGACGCCCTAGACGAAGGTTTATCGACCAAATCGGCGATACATTAAAAATGGGCCAGATTAGGAGTACCCGTAACCGACGAGTGTGTATGCGTAGATATATGGATGTAAAAGAGGTGAGAGAGGTGTGTCACGATCGCGCCAAATGGAAGTCCGTAGTCTTTGCCTACCCCTCTGGGGGACAGGCGTGAGTGTATACAGTAATATGTATGTATGTATTTAAGTCACCTCCCGTGTAGACTGGTAGAGAATGTTAACTGGTATTAATTCCGCTCTTTGTCCTAGGCTTTACTAAATAGCTGGTATTTTTATAGAAATATGGTTCACAAACTTACTGTTCACTTGATGGTAAGTGGATGCTGTGTCTTATAGGCAACTACATCTATCCTTGATTAGGAATCATAATGCATAAGTGTTGCCAACCCTTAGCACTAAGAGGGAATGCCTTGTTACCAGTAAAAGGAGTCTCGATATTTTCCATAAAAATATTCTGACTTAGAAATGAGGTTAACCACAGTAGACTCAAAGTAACCAACATTGCCCAACGGATTGGCAAGCTGAAGTAGCAATGGGCCGGCCATATAGTTTGCAAAATCGACAACCGATGGAGAAGAAAGTTTCTCAGTTGGAAGTCTCATTTGGGTATGCAAAGTGTAGGGCGTCTCCCCACTAGATAAAGTGATGACCCGGTAAGATATGCAGGAAATCGTTGGATGCAGGTAGCTCAGGACCATGCTTTGTGTCATTCCTTGGGGAGGCCTATGTTCAGCAGTGGATGTAATGAAGATTATGATAATTAATTTGTGTATGTCGAGCCGACCAATTTGTGCTGCAGTCATAAAAATAATACACGTAAAATAATAATATAAAAGAACCTCGTAGTTATATTAGTACAAGCTTATTTTGTAGGGCTATTCTTCCTTTTGGAGGTTATGTTAAATTCTTTTATGTGCTCAGATGTAAGGAACTGTTGCCATTTTTTTCCAGGTGGAAGATGTGGTGGAATTATTACTTTGTTCATTACGAGATGACGATACAGTGGTACGTTGGTCGGCTGCTAAGGGCGTGGGCAGAATAGGCGCTCGTCTACCCGCAATAGCGGCAGCTGACGTGTGTGAAATTGTTCTTACATTGTTTGCTGAAAACGAACGAGATACAGCCTGGCACGGTGGTTGTATGGCATTGGCTGAATTAGGTTAGTTGTAATTCCAAGGATATATTTTTTACTGGAAACGAGACATTCCATCTTAGTCCTCACGGGTGACAACGCATCTGCATTTTGAGTCTTTATTATGTAGATGTCTATGGGTCACAGCAACCACTTAACATCAGGTGGAATGTGTGCTCGCTTGTCACCCTATCCTATAAAAACTACTAATATATACTATATTGTACTATAATTCAAATAACAATAATTTGTTATGGAATATGGATGGAGCTAGCAATGCATTACTAAGCGGTTTTCATTAAGGGCGGGTAGATATTAGAAAGAAATAAAACAAGCTGTGTGTGTGTGGGGGGGGGGGGGGTATTAACAAAATTATTTTTTATTTGGAAGGCCCACATGTGCCATTAAGTGTCGAATATAACATCGTTCAAATGTCCGCCTCGGCTTCTTACAGTGGTGCGGGTCCTAGTGATCCAATTATTGATTTAGATTCGGCTGAATTTGAGCGATGGCCTATGTTATGTTCACCTTTGAGCATCCATCGATTGTGGTTTGTTTGCATAGAACTGCGGCTTCAAGAAACCCAAGAAAAAGTCTAGTGGGGTCAAATCGCATGACCTTGGTGGTCAATTCACATGACCCCTGCGAGAGTAAGCTTACCCTCAAATCGCTCATGGACAATGTCAATCGTGGCGTCTGCTGTGTGGCATGTAACGCCGTCCTGCCAGATGTCGACTAGATCCATATAGTTCAATTTGGGGCATAAGAAATTGGTAATCATCGTTCTGTAGTGCTCGCCGTTGACGGTGACCACCTCACCAGCGTCGTTTTGGAAAAACACGGACCAATGACGCCGCCGGCATGACATGCGCGCCAATGGGCTAGTTGTGAGGAACGCCGAAGACCGGGCAAAGTGGAGGAGGAAGTGTTGGAAAGCGGACCCTGGGTTCTCCCGCGCTGGGCGGGATGAGCAACCGGGATAAACGCTAGGTAGAAGAAGAAGAAGAATGACGCCGCCGGCCCAAATTCCACACCAAACGGTAACTTTTTGAGGATGCATTATCACCTGGTGAAACTTGCGTTGGTTGGATATACGGCAATTCAGCTTGTTAACACAGCCATTTATCCAAAAATGCATCTCGTGCTAAAGATGATTTTTCGCCCAAAATTGTGGCCTCTTCCAAACCATTCGAAGCCCAGTCAGTGAACAAACGGCGTTATCTATTGTCATGAACTTTGAACTTCTGAGTAAGTTTGATCTTGTATGGGTGTTGGCCTAAGTTTCGACGCAAAATTCGCCAAGTTGAAGTCTGCGAAAGGCCGAGTTCTTGTACACGGCGAGGAATTTATTGCCTCTGGTTCTGCTGTACACTTTCACGAACTGCGACGATGTTCTCGGCCGATCTTGCATTCCTTGAACTTACGCGTGTTGGTTGATTGTTTACCGAACCGGTCGTTTCAAATTTGGCTACCAAACGTTGAAGAGCCGACTGTGGAAGGGCGTCTACCGTAAAATGGGCGCAAAGCGCGTATCGTTTGCACTAACGTACACTCGTTTTGATAATAAAGTTTTATCATTTGAACTTGCTGTTCAATCGTGTAACTTGCCATGGTGATTTGGCATAAGTAACTGAATAATAAACCAAAGATTTGATAGATGTTAACGCCGAAAGGCCGCTAAAATCTACATATTATATAGTTATTATGTTATCAAATAATTAACTATTTTGTTTTAAATTTAACTCTAAGTTACTTAATGCATTTAAACAATGTATTTAGTAGTAAGAAGCAAGTTAAAATTTAGTGTACAAGTAAAATACAATTTTTTCTATTTTTTGTTTTGGTTAAGTTGGCATACACGATTTAGTTCAATGCATGATTATATTTGAAGATTTTTTTAAAACGTCGAAGTGGAAGAAAGATCGGCTACAACAAAATTTATTCAAGAATGCTTAAAAAAACTATTTCTAATGAATATTGCATTACTGTATCTCTAATCGGTATCTTATGTTGTCTAGTGATCGTACACGCGATTGCTCATCATGAGTAGAATTGAACTGAATTAATTTAGTTAGTTATTTGACGACTTAATTTACACGTATTAAGTAGTGAAGAACTTAATTTCCAAGTAGCGTCAGTGTAATCTCAATGCAGTCCACTAACACCTCGATACTGACAAGCCGCACTTACTTTTCTTGACTGAGACGCAGATCAGATGTCTCTAGATGCGGCGTACCTTGGTTACCTTGGGAACACATTGGAGTATAATTTCCATCAGCGCGCTGGAGTCTGTGTGTACGGACGTGCAACGACATCTACTGTAAGCGTCGCCGTCACCTTGAAGACCCCATTTTCTCCACGATCTGGTTATTGATAGACACAGGAATGGATAAAATTATTTATTTTTGTGTCTACCGACCGCACATCGGTGACTAGGAGACAACTAGGCTATTTGAACACCAGTGAAGCTTCTGATGTGGTTCTAAATTGGCACTCTACTGCACAGTTGGTTTTTTTGGGGAACTTTAATGCCTGCCATCAGGACTGGCTGTTCCCTACTAGAAGACCGGCCACGCTGGGAGAGAGGTGTGGAATTTTGCCTTGTCGCTTTGGTTCTCTCAACTGGTACAACAAACGACTAGGGTACCTGATGTGGATGGGCACCCAGCCAACAGCCTCGATCTTCTGTTGACGACCGATTCAGACAGGTACGATGTTCAGGTTACCTCACTCTTGAGAACTTCTGACCACTCTCTGGTGAAATCTGTGTCGTTATGTTCCCCACCTAATACGATTTCTAAGGTGTGCGGCGAGTATGCCGATACAAGTTAGCAGATTGAGGTGACGTGCGGCATTTCTTTGCATCTTATCCTTGGCGGCAGGTTTACTTCTCATCTGAATATCCGTCGAGCTTTGCGGATGGCATAACCGATGTGCTAAATAGCACAAACATATGGCGTACTTATCCTGGGTCGATGCTCGAGATCGCAAAGCTCCGGATGTTAGCCTTAAGAAGAGAGCCTTTAACCGAGCCGCTAAGTCCTGCAAAAAGGCATTATGGCAAGCCAGTTTCGACCGCATGAAACGCATCGGTCAAAGCTCTCTGTCAAACCTTCTGGCAGCAGAGCTTTTTGGTCTCTCGCCAAAGCGGTCGAAACAAACTTCTGCCGGTCTACACTGACTGTAAAACCAGATGGCTCACTGGCGCATGCGGCTAAGGAGAAAGCGGATTTATTTGCTTCACTTTTTGCTTGCAATTCGCGTCTGGATAGTAGTAACAGCTTACCACCACAACTACCTGCGGTACCTCTATGTCAGAGGCCCGTATCACCACAAGGAGGTTCTTAGAATCTTGCGAAGTCTAGACGTGAAGTAGTAGACCTGATGGTATACCAGCTATAGTTCTAAAGGTCTGTTCGCCTTAGTGGTCTCCTGCGTTGACGCGCTTGTTGCACCTCATTCAGGGTTGGAATAGTGCTCAAATCTTGGAAGCTAGCCAATGTGCAGCCTGTGCCTGAAAATACCAGCCGTACCGACCCTGCCAACTATCTGCCAATCTCAATTACCTCCATATTCTGCAAGATTATAGAGCGTATATTGCCGCCAGTACGGATTTTGCCGAAATCGATCAACTGGAGACCTCTTCTAGGGTATACCACTCACATAAGGGGCGGAGCCCTCTATGATAGTGGGGAAGCACTTACTGTTTCCCTTGATGTCTCGATTGCCTTTGACAAGGTTTGTCACGCTAGCCTATTGGGCAAATTTTCAGCGTACGGCTTCGCCTGATTGACTGGGTGAAAGACTGAATGAACGATCTCTCCTCCTCGCTCCTCGTCCAGTCCTATTGCGACAAACGCCGGAGTTCCTCAGGGGTCAGTTCTCTCCGCAGCTCCCTTCCAGCTGCATATTAATGATCTGTTAATTCCCGGTATCTATGGGTGCCGTGTAGTAGCGGTCAAGAATATCCACTACCCCATATCCTCCCGTGGGTGTCGTAAAAGGCGACAAAGGGAAACAGGCAGAAGATGGGCAGCAGCATCTCCCTGATAATAGCCAAAATTATAATAAAGAACTGCGGTTGCCAACCCGCTCGCCAAGCGTGGCAACTATGGCAAATACCCCCCAATGACTAAAGCAACAAACAGACGGCCCCCAGTCCCCGGCGGCCCCGCTATTCCTGGCTACGGTGGCGACCATGGTAACGGCGGGGCAGGGGGTGCTAAGAATCTCCGGTGGAGGTTCGGTTGCCACCTTAGACGACTCGATCTGGCAACGTACAACGCACGCACCCTGAGGACTGACGAGAAGATCGTAGAGCTGGAAGAAGAGATAGACAAGTTGCGCTGGCATATTATCGGATTATCCGAAGTCCGAAGAGAGACACGGTAATCCTCGAATCCGGCAACTTGCTCTATCACCGGGAGGGCGACCATCTGTCCCAAGGAGGTGTCGGATTTATCGTCCACAAGTCTCTCGTTAACAACGTTGTAAAGATCGGGAGTGTGTCGACGAGGGTTGCGTACCTTATACTCAGAATCACCAAACGGTATTCGCTGAAGGTCATACAGGTTTACGCACCAACCTCGGCACACCCCGATCAGGAGGTGGAGGAAATGTATGAGGATATCTCTAGAGCCTTGCATTCCTCCAAAACCCAATATACGGTGTTAATGGGAGACTTCAATGCAAAACTAGGCACAAGAGAGAACGGTGAGCTGAAAGTAGGGAAATTTGGAATAGGGCAACGGAACCCAAGGGGCCAGCAGCTGGCCGACTTCATGGAGAAAGAGGGACTCTTTATGATGAACTCTTTCTTCCAGAAGCGGCCCCACAGGAAGTGGACCTGGTCGAGCCCCGACGGTTCCACAAAAAATGAGATTGACTTCATTATGACGACCAGACGACAACTGTTCAGTGATGTCTCCGTGATCGCGAGGGTGAAAACTGGTAGCGATCACCGAATGGTTAGAGGCACACTGAACCTAAACGTTAAGTTGAAGAGGTCTCGTCTAATGAAGTCAACG